TTTTGATATATATTTTTTCATGTCCTTTGCCTATTTTCTTTTGCTAGGTATTTTTCTTAATTATAAGGAGATTAGCCCTTTGGGATATATATGACCTGTTTATTTCTGTTTGTTGGTGGTCTCCTTGTCTTTGCTTGTTTTTATTTCATTTTGTTTTGCCACAAAAATATTTTTATAGTAAAATTTGCCAATCATTTCTTTTATGGCTTCTGTTTGGAATCATAATTAGGCCTTCTTCCACTTCTAGGTTATGAAGGAATTACCCATGTGTTTTCTTCTATAATCTTTTTTTTTTAAAACATTCAAATTTTTGATCCATTCAGAATTTATCGTGGTGTTTGGTGTGAGTTATAAAGCCAGCTTTCTTAGCAGCTACCCAGGTTGCCAGTGCTGTCTTCACATAGATGAAATCGGGTAAAAATGAACATGAAAAATAGATTTGAAATTTGAGAAAAAGGGTCACAAAAATATAGTTATGAGAGGAGGCACAGCTTAATAGCTTGAGGGTGTAAGAGTTTTGAGCTCTAGTTTGCATGGAAGTCCCTGGTTTCTGTTGTTGTTGTCATTGAACCAGGTGGAAGGACTTGCCCTTTTTCTGCCTCTGCCTTCTCAACCTCAAGCCAAAACCCTTTCCCGCGCTCTCCTGTCTCTTGCCTGATGACCCTGAGCTAAGGCACTGGGAAGCACAGTGCTAGGGAGCTGTGCCTAGAAGAGCAAGAAGAATGAACAGTAGTGATGGATCACATAGCTTAGTACATCATATCAGAGAACATCCCACTGTTTGTTTACATTGTCATACCCAATATAGAAGTGGACTGCTTTACAACCAATCTCTAAGACAATAGTGCACATAAAACAAGCACAAATTTTACTTCAAAAGGCCTTGAAAACTAAAGTAGACCTTACTGAAGTATCTTACAGGCCACTATACCATCGAACATAGAGTGAAACCTGCTAAAAATTTTCTTGAGGCATCACTCTTCCCACGTCCCAATCCTAATGACAGCTAATCTCCAAAAATACCTCTCCTATTTCTCTCCAGTTCTAGCGTTCCTCTCTCTTACCCTCTCATCCTGTGCCCCCTAGATCCATTCTGAGAGGTGCTCCCTGCCTTTTCTTTGTAGGTCAGTGGTATCCCATTCAGTACAACCCAGGACTAGAGGCTGAACATCTCAAACGTGGGCTCCTTAGGAGGCAGGGTAGAGGGCAAAGTGGAGAACAGTTATACTTAGACATTTCATCCTTATATGTTACAAAATGCTTTACTTGAGTTTGCAATGGGACTCACAGTGAACAAATGCCTCATCGCTGCCATCCGGGAAGAACAGGTTTAATCAGGCTCTCTCCCAGCAGATGGCAGCCTTCTCCATCAAATGGCCTGGATCATTGCATTTTCTAGCTGTAGGGGGCAACGTGAGTGATGTGGTTTGTGTGCTACAGAATAAAATACAGACATTTAAAGGGCCTACTACAGCCATAATGTTCTGATTATCTCTTAGAGGGAGCTGGTGTTCATCATTTCGCTCAAAATCCTTTAGGGACTTCCTTCTGGTAGCCCTTAAATAAAAGCCAGACTCCTGCAGGGCTCACTGGGATCTGGCCCAACCACAAATCCTGCTGTCTTCTCTTGCTCCCTTCCCTCCAGCCACCCTGACCAACCATCTTCCTGTGCCTTTTGCTTGATTTCACCTCAGGACCTTTACACTTGCTGTCTCCTCTGTTTGAAATGCTTTTCCTCTCTCTCCTGGTTAGAGCCAGGATTTGGTTTTAGCCTGTCTGATTCCAGAGCCAGGAATCTTACCCATTAAATAATATTGTGGTAAAGCCCAAACTTATCTGCTTCAAAAAATACCAGTACCTGTGTTCCACCTCCAAAGACTGTGGATTTAATTGGTCTAGGGTGTGACCTGGGCCCCACAATTTTTAAAAGATCCCCAAGTGATCTTTAATGTGCAGACAAGTTTGGAAACCATTGTGATAGTGCTTTGCTTGGGACATTAGCTAATAATAGGCGCCTGAGAGCTGTTCTATCCCACCAATTGGTAAGATAACATCAAAAATATTTCTAAAATAAAGAGTGCAAGGGGTGCCTGGGTGGCTCAGTCCGCTAAGCATCCAACTCTTGATTTTGGCTCAGGTCATGAGATTGAGCCCTTCATCAGATTCCCGCTCTAGGCATGGGCCTCTGAAGATTCTCTCTCCCCCTCTCCCTCTGCTCCTCTCTCTCTCTCCCTCTCTTAAGAAAAAAAAAAAAGAGGGAGAGAGAGAGAGAGAGTGCAACCTCTACCTGTGGGAGAAACTACCATGAAAGGGCAATAGGAAAAGTGTTATTCATTCATATTATCAGTATTTGTAGAAGGCTTTTTAGGATTGATTCAGTGTTATACTGACTTTCTGACCTGTGTATATAAAGCTGGGAACCAAGCTTGGTGATACACAAAAAATCCACAGAACAAGTGTTGCATCTGTGATGGGTGACAGCATGACTGGGCACAAGGGGCGTATTTGTAGACTACTCTCCCCTTTTCCTTAGGTCTGAGTCAGTTTGGCCTTAAAAAGTAGAGTAATAGATGGGGCACCTGGGTGGCTCAGTTGGTTGGGCATCTGACTTTTGATTTCAGTCCAGGTCATGATCGTAGGGTCTTGAGATCCGGCTCCGCATCAGGTTCCACCCTCAGTGGGGAGTCTGCTCCTCTCTCTCTCTCCCCCTCTCCCTTGACTCTCCCCCGCCTATGCTCTCTCTCTCTCTCTCAAATATTTTTTTTTAAAGTAGAGTAATAGAAAATATCCCAATTCAAAAATTCCATTTACTATTTTTTTTAAGTTTGTAACCTATCTCCTACTATGCTGTAAACTCCTTGAGAGGTGAACTTACCTTACTTATTTTTGTTCTCTCAACACTGGCACCATGCTGCACATAGTAGAAACCCAATCAGATCTGGGTTGCTGTGTTTCCTGCAGTGCTCCCACACTGATACACTAAAATTGTAACTAATAATTCTGATCACCATTCACCTACTATATGCAGAGTACTTCACATATATGTCACTAATCTTTATACAGGCATACCTATTACCCTCCTATCTGAGAAGGGAAACTGAGTCTCAGAGAAGTTAAGCAGTTTGCCCAAGGTTGTACGGCTGAGTAACAGAACTGGGGTTTGAGCTATATCTGTCTGATGCCAGAGCACCCCCACTTTCCTTTACCCAAAATACTTCAGAGGGTGGGCAGCGGTACTTCAGAACTCTCAGATATGATTAAAAACTCCCAAGAAAAAAACATCTGGAACAGACTGTCCTTATGAGGCCTATTATACTAGGCCTTTGCATAACGTAGCCTATATGATCTCCTACATTTTCCCACATTTAGCAAAAAACTAAACGTGATTTTTTTTTTTTTTAAGTGGGCTCCATGCCAGGCCCCGGTGCAGGGCCTGAACTCACGATCTTGAGATCAAGACCAGCCAAGAACAAGAGTCAGACACCTAACCAACTGAGCTACCCAGGCACCCCAAAACATGATTTCTTTTAAAGATTTTATTTATTTATTTGACAGAGAGAGTATGAGCAGGGGAAGGGGCAGAGGGAGAGGGAGAAGCAGACTTCCCGCTGAGTGGGGGGCCCAGTGCAGGTCTGGATCCCAGGACCCCAAGATCATGACCTGAGCCGAAGTCAGACACTCAACCAACTGAGCCACCCAGGTGCCCCTGAACCATGATTTTTAATTTGCTTAACCATTTCTTCTGTTTTGGACGTTTCAGGTGTATCCAATTTTCCACTGATACCACAATGAACATTTTTGTGCATACATTTTTGCTATGCTTGGAATAATTTCTTTAGGGTACATTTTTTTTTTTAAGATTTTTTTAATTTATTTGAGAGAGAGAGTGAGCACAAGCTGGGGGAGAGGCAGAGGGAGAGAGAGAAGCAGACTCCCCACTGAGCAGGGAGCCTGATTCAGGGCTCGATCCCAGGACCTTGGGATCATGACCTGAGCCAAAGGCAGACGCTTAACTGACTGAGCCACCCAGGCGCCCCTTTAGGGTACATTTCTACAAGTAGAATTAGATTAAGGAATTTGACTTATACTGCCAAATTATTTTTCACAAAGTATACTAGTTTAGGTTTCCACAGCGGTACAAAAGAGTGTTCATTTCATCTAAACCATCTAGTCTCATTATCCTCTGCAAAATTTCTTTTTTGCTAATTTTGTAGTTTACCAAAAATCTCATTATTTACATTGTTTTGATTACAAGCAAGCATGAATTTTTTCTTTTATTTACATGTCTTTATATGTGTGTCTTCATATATGAATTCAGTTTCTGTCCTTTGTCCGTTCAACTTTTGACACATACCTTGGTGTTTTTCTTATTCATCTATACTTTTATAATCTTCGGGTATTAAGACTATTAACCCTTTCTCATATTTGTTGCCAAATATTTTCATTTCCTCTTCAAGTTTTAATTTTTGACACATAGAAGTTTTAAGTTTTAAATATTTTATTTTATTTTATTTTATTTTTTAAAGATTTTATTTATTTAAGAGAGAGAGAATGAGAGATAGAGAGCACAAGAGGGAAGAGGGTCAGAGGGAGAAGCAGGCTCCCCGCCGAGCAGGGAGCCCAATGCGGGACTCGATCCTGGGACTCCAGGATCATGACCTGGGCCGAAGGCAGTCGCTTAACCAACTGAGCCACCCAGGCGCCCAAGTTTTAAATATTTTAATCTATATTATTCCTGTGTATCTCTTGTCACCTTTAGCTTAGATTAAAATCTAGTGAGTAAGTAGATATTCTCTTATTTTTGCTCTAATTCAATTAAATATTTAACTCCTTGCTTTACCTGTGATTTATTTTGGTACATGGTGTGACATACTTAATTTAGCAATTCCTCTAGGTAGTTATTTTTCACAGTCTCTTTTTCTATTGATTTGTGATGTTATCTTTATAGTTCCTTTGATTCTTATTGAATCTAATGTTTGCTTTTACTTTTATTTTTGTAGATCCTGGTCCCTGTGGCATTGCAAGAAAATGGTAAGACTGTAGGTATAGTACTCTTCTACCAGACTAACTAGCTGATGTGAAAGACTCAATCTGGGGCTTCTGAAGGAAAAACCGATCATGGGGGTTCCTGTGCTTTTTCTTGGCCATAAGTCCATTTTCTAATGACAGTTCCTGTGTAAAAAGGAAATGAGAGATAAAGTGATTAAGAAGTGAGATAGGGGAAGAAGATTGAGATGTAGGAGAACTCTCCTTAGATTCACTTACTGTTTTACTTGTTTGCTAAATACTAGGTGTATGTTACATGCTAGGTCTGAACCTTTAAGGGACTTGGGATGCTGCATTGACAATCTCATGTCACAGATTTTGTGAAGCTCCAGGTCAGTATATCCCGATCTCCCCTCGTCTCTATTTCAAGTATAGTAGCTAATGAAATTTCAAGAAAGTGCTCTCTATGGAAAAAAGAAAATGTGTACATAGAGTACACAAAACAGATGCCCCCTGAAAATTGATGCTTACTCTTTCTTTGGCTAAGATGGAGTTAGAATAGGTAACAGAGGAGAATCATTTAAGAGAAATACCAAAGATGAGTATCAATGGCTTGTATAGATGAGAAGTAAATAATAATAATTTTATTTGTATCCATTCTTTGAATAAATGGATTAAATCATTCATTTTTTGTTATTATTTAACATTTACATTTATTATTATTATTTAGAGTTTTTGGATTTTTTTTTTTAATTTTCCCTATCCTTGAGATAGGGAGATCTCTCTCTCTCTCTCTCTTTTTTAAGATTTATTTATTTGAGAGAGAGAGAGAGAGTGGGGGCATGGGGGGGAAGGGTAGTGGGAGAGGGAGAAGCAGACTCCCTGCTGAGCTTGGAGCCCCATGAGGGGTTTGATCCCATGAACTGAGCCAAACCCAAGAATCCGATGCTCAACTGACTGAGCCACCCAGGCATCCTTAGAGTTTTTTGGATTTCTTATTTGCTATGCTTTCTAGTTTGTTTGTTTTTTCCTCTCAATTCTTTCAGGCAGTAAATAGTACCACCTTATCTTTATGTAATGCTTTGCAGTTAAAAAAATTTCTTTTTTCTCACAAGAATCCTGAGAAGTTGATAGGGCAGATATAATCAACTAGATTTTACTGAGAGAAAATGAAATTCAGAAAAATTATGTCACTTTCCCAAGGTTGTGTGGTGGCTGAGTTAGAAGAGCTGGTAGAACTAACATTTACTGAGTATTACCAAGTACCCACTTAAAATACCACATTATTTCAAATAAATGTATGCTGGGTGAGCAGACTCTCCTGTGGCTAAATAGACAGTGAAATAGTTTATACCTGATAAGTTTTATACTTAAAAAAGAGACTGTGAAGAGAATGTGTTTTAAAAAAATATTTTTTGGGGGCGCCTGGGTGGCTCAGTCGTTAAGCGTCTGCCTTCGGCTCAGGTCATGATCCCGGGGTCCTGGGATCGAGCCCCGCGTCGGGCTCCCTGCTCCGCGGGAAGCCTGCTTCTCCCTCGCCCACTCCCCCTGCTTGTGTTCCCTCTCTGGCTGTGTCTCTCTCTGTCAAATAAATAAAATCTCTTAAAAAATTAAAAATTAAAAAATATTTTTCTCTTATTGTTATACCGCTTCTTGCTCTTGTTTGAGTGGTTGATTTGGCTTGATTCTATGAGGAAACTGCTATCTTTATTACTTATCCCTGTCCCTGTTGTCTAAAAAAATTCAAAGGAATATGCTGTGCCTGATTGTTATGAAAGGAAATATGTTCTGAATATAAACAACATAGTTAAATGTAAAAGAGCATTTTGACTGAAGGAGAGACTTGTTTGTACTACCACAAAAGTACAGACCTGAAATCATTTCCATAATTATTGCTGTATAAAGGCATATTTATTGTTCTGCACCCAAGGTAAGGATTTCAAAAACTTTCTGAGCTATTGGCAAACTATAGGAGACTAATAATCAATGAAGACATGGGACAGCAGTGTAACCCTCATTAAAAAAAAAAAAAAATCTACTTTCAAGAGTGAAAATCCTTCAACCACATTCTTTTGTTTCTGCCCAGGACCCTGACTACACATTGTGAGGTAATGCAAGGTGTGGAAGAAGGGGGAAGCCTGTGTTAAGATGAAGAGACAGGTGGAGATGTAGTTGTGGTGACATAATACACAAGAAATGAATGAAGAGGATAGGTGTTAGAACTCCACACAGAATTAGCAAATGTTAATGAGATTATTTCCAGCTGAAGTAACAACTCAACGTGTCTACAGGAATAAACTAGGAAACTGTCATTGGTCTATAAAATGATACATTAAAAAAATTATTGGGGGGGAGCAAGATGGCAGAGGAGTAGGAGACCTGGATTTCGTCTGGTCTCAGGAATTCAGCTGAATAGGGATCAAACCATTCTGAACGCCTACGACCTCAACAGGAGATCGAAGAAGAGAGTAGCAACAACTGTCTGAACAGAGAAGCGACCACTTACTGGAAGGTAGGACATGCGGAGAAGTGAATCCGAGGCGATATTCGGGAGGATAGACGGCAGGGGAGGGGGCCTCCGTCGGCCGCTTCTGGCAAGTGATAGAGCCACGGAGCACAAAATCGGGACTTTTAGAAGTCGGCTCCGCTGAGGGACGTCGCTCCAGTGGCTAAGCGGGGGATGGAACCCTCGTGAGACAGTGTGGTCTCAGGACCCTCGGGGTCAAGAAAGACCGGGGGTGCCTGAGTGCAGCAGAGCTCCCAGGTATCGGAGTGGGGAAGCTGGCTGCAGAGATGAGCCGAGGCGCGGGCTCTCAGCTCGGGGTGGCCATAAACTGTGATCTGCAGCCCAGTCGGGCCACTACTCCTCCAGCAGGGACCCAACAAGCGGCAGAGCTGGGGAGACTCCCCTTCCTCCCCCCGGGAGGAGCGGCGCGGGAGCACACCGCAGGGATCTGCTGGGTTTGGAAACTCCACACGGGGTCGGGTGCCAGAGATAGAAACACTCGGTCACAGGCCGGGTGAGCAC